GACAGTATGTCTGCCAGTCTACATGTGTGTAGACATAGCATGTCTGTCAACACTTTCAGAGCAACAGCTCTCAAGCATCCCTGATTCCAGCCCACATATTCCAGGCAAAAGAGTCATCTGAGACCACTTACCCCACTACCCACTTTCCAGTAGGAAAATGAACTCTGTGATTATAAAGTATCACAGTTAGACCAGGCGCGGTGGCTCACACCTATAATCTCAGCACTTTGCAAGGCCAAGGTGGGTGGATCACCTGAGGTGAGGAGTTTGAGACCAGCCTGGCCAACATGGTGAAACTCCGTCTCTAATAAAAATACAAAAAAAATTAGCCGGGCCTGGTGGCGGGCGCCTGTAGTCCCAGCTACTCAGGAGGCAGAGGCAGGAGAATCGCTTGAACTCAGGAGGTGGAGGTTGCAGTGAGCCAAAAACACAAATAGGGGAGATATATACATATATGTTTTAGCCAAAGGTCTGTGAATGATTCATTCTGAACTACAATTCATATACGTCTAATTATTTGAAAACTGTAAGCTAAAAACACTATGGATGCATGCATGCCTCATTCACTATAAATAGCAGAATTAACCAAACAACAAACTAACTTGATAACAATAATTTTAAACTAACAGTTTAAAATTAGAAACTTAGAAGTTAACTTAGAAATTAACTTAGAAATTAAAATGTGGTCAAAGTGGCATTTGAAAACCAAGACTGATTGAAAACAAAGATGGCAGGCGTCCCAACTGCGAGCGGGCATGGTCTGTCGCTCTGGAAGGATGCCAGATGTTGAAGAGCAAAAAAAACGTCTTAGGAATCATCAGTCAGTCAGCTTTGGTAAAGATGTCAACTTTAGGGATCTGTAGCAAGGCCACTAAATAGGATGCCAGTGAGTAGTCATTACTATATGCACAAAATAAAAGTGTATGGAATTGCACGTTAGTCACAAGAAGCAAAATCTCAGCTTGCATTTAGGACAGTCAATGGCCACCAGGAAGGAGTTGATGTAGCTCCTAGCATAGAACAACCACACTCACGCATTTCACTTTACAGTCATGCTGCTCCACCAGACTGGAGGCCACCCCCAGCACAGTGAGACAGTGTGGTCTGGAGGCCTAGGTAACAGAGATTCTTACGTAGGTAACCCACTGGTCAAAAAATTCCCCAGGGCCAGGCGCTGTGGCTCACACCTGTAATCCCAGCACTTTGGGAGGCTGAGGCAGGTAGATGACCTCAAGTCAGGAGTTCAAGACCAGCCTAGTCAACATGGTGAAACACCATCTCTATTAAAAATATTTTTAAAATTTAGCCAGGCGCCTGTAATCCCAGCTACTCGGGAGGCTGAGACAGGAGAATAGCTTGATCCCGGGAGGTGGAGGTTGCAGTGAGCCAAGACCGTACCACTGCACTCCAGCCTGGGCAACAAGAACGAAACTCCATCTCAAAAAAATTAAAAATAAAAAAACTACCCCAGGCTGAACATGTTGGCTCACGCCTATAATCC